TTATTCACAGTTTATTTGGTCATCTTTATGTTCTACAAATACAAAAGCAACAAATTATTTTTTTCCCTGTTGGATTTTAATATTGGTATTGTGGCCATCTCCTCTTCATCTCTCAGTGGTGCTGGTGCAGGTTCTCCCCCCATTTTGCGAGCCTCTGCCTTGCTGTCTACTGAGTACAAGTCAGTTGTTAATTTCATTACTCTAATTAAAGGGGTGGTTCACTGTGTTTTTTCCAAGACTTGATTGTGTTTATGGGGTGCAGTCTAACATGTTAATGCTTCGTTTAAAAAAAAAGGCTATGTGAAAATAAGTGTATAATTGGAACAGTTCATTGTCCGAGCTGAGCTGAATGAGAGAGAGAGAGATGCAGAGTGTGTGCAGAGCAGGGGAACGCGATTAACAATATTGAGAACTGCTGCTTTTGAACATTGATTTTGAAACTTGAGACGATATCTCCGTTTGCATTGAACTTTCAGCTTCGTAACTTCGTAGATTTTGTTTATGCTCAAACAGCAACATTACACACTAACTGAAGTTAAAAAAGTGAAATCGCAATCAACCACCCCTTTAAGAAATGTAACGGGTTGGATTACAGAATATTTATTTAGCCTATATGAAAAGAGCGTTAAACTATGTGGAAAAAGCTGCTGCGCATTGAAATAGACACTGAATGATATTTAATATGTCAAATGTTTGTAAAGTCATGTAGCCTACACCAATGAAACTTTTATGCTTAAAGCTTTACCTTGATTGAACTGTGTTTTTATCATTCATTTTTTAGATGCTGCTACGGTCTTTTTTTTTTTCTTTTTCTTTTTTTTTTGCCGTAGGATAGACTACCATGAAAATGAATATTAGTTCAATAATTTACAGTTTTTACCTCTGATATTATAACCAGTGTTGGGCAAGTTACTTCCAAAATGTAATACATTATATATTACTAGTTACTGTCTTTTGAAAGTAATTAGTTACATTACAATATTACTCTCTCTGAATTGTAATGCATCTCTCATTCGCCATTAATCCAATTAAATGTGTCCATAGTGACTCGTCGATTCGTCGCTCTGTTAAGAATGTCTTGAGTCTTAACCAGGAACATTCTCGGAGTTGAATGAACTTAATCCCGGACGCGTTTTTGGAACCACATACCTCGAGTAAACAAGGTTTGGGGTTAATCAACCAAAAGTTCATGGTTTAGCTGACGGTAAGTTAACCGTGCTTTCTGGAATACACCCCTGGGGCGTGACAGAACCATGAAAATTTATCAGTCATGAAAATTTATAAATCTGTGTGTCTATTTATTTATTTATTTATTTAGCTATAAAGGTTTTGGCCGCAAATTTCTTGGCCTACATTAATTTTATAATTTGTTGGCCACGGCTCAGTCATTTTCGTTTATGGTGGGATTAGTATAATTGGAGAATATATATATACGTTGTATTGAACATTAATGGAGCAACAGATTTTGTGTGAAAATAAATCATTCAAGTTGTTTATATTTTGTTTAAAAAATCTTAATGTATGAGGTGCCAAGAGGGGCCTTTTACCTCACACACGGAGTAAAAGGCTCACCAGCATGGGGTAAAAGGCACACGGTATTGATACAAATATTTAGCTAAAATAATGTTGTTGTTTTTTTAAATAATGTCAAAGTTAATACTTCTTCAAAACAATCACTTTAGCAAAGTTTGTACTATTTTCTGCTTATTTTGAAAATTAAAAGAACTAATTTTTTTCAATAAATATACTGTCATTAAAATATGTTAATATAAAAATATGTTAAAATACAGAAACAAAATCGTTTTAATAAGTAAAGATTCTGAAAGTATTGAAGGAGATCCAATAATAATTGAATATATATTTACAGTAGTAACAACAAATTTTATTTTATTATATGATTAATATCATGTTTTTAAATATGATTGTTTCATTCTAAACATGGTGATTTATCTCTAATATGGACACCCAACATAATATATGATATTTACCATCTAAATCTAACCATGTCATGTCAACAAATGGAAAAGTCAGTGCCATCTAGTGGTTTAGATGAAAATAATATCCAAGGCGCCTTTTACCCGAGATGGTCCTCACTGCAGAACAAGATCCAGATCCAACTCCTCCCACCTTACATATACCTAAACCTACCTGTCTCCACCCCCTGATACCTAAACCCACCCATCTACACCCCTAAACCTACCAATCTCCACCCCCTATATGTAGATCCAACCATGCCCTCTGGATTATATGATTAATATCATGTTTTTAAATATGATTGTTTCATTCTAAACATGGTGATTTATCTCTAATATGGACACCCAACATAATATATGATATTTACCATCTAAATCTAACCATGTCATGTCAACAAATGGAAAAGTCAGTGCCATCTAGTGGTTTAGATGAAAATAATATCCAAGGCGCCTTTTACCCGAGATGGTCCTCACTGCAGAACAAGATCCAGATCCAACTCCTCCCACCTTACATATACCTAAACCTACCTGTCTCCACCCCCTGATACCTAAACCCACCCATCTACACCCCTAAACCTACCAATCTCCACCCCCTATATGTAGATCCAACCACGCCCCCTGGATCTTGTGTTCTGCAGTGAGGGGCTTCTGTTTTACCCCGGGGCGCCTTTAGCCCCGTTGTACCCTATATATATATATATATATACACACACACACACACACACACACACTTATAGCTTTTTAGATTAATTTTATAATTTCTACATACTACATTTTAAAAATCATTATACATTTTAGGTTACCATAACATTAACATACACACATACAGATACAGACATATAGGTTAAACATAAAGTGTTACATTCATTCCTGTTTGGACACTTTACGTGATAGGTAAATTAAATTAGAGATCTGTCGGGGTAGCCTAGGCCTACTCTAAAGTCTAAATACATTTGGGTCAATTGAATAAGTTTCTTTTGAAGATCTCTCTGACAGATTTAATTATGATTACAGTAATGTAAAATTAGACAAAAGGAAGAAACAACTAAAGGACGATACAAATTAGGTGTCTATTTAAAAAAGTTTAAATTCTTCTAATTTGCAAGTGAACTCAAGAGTTAAACTTGTTTTTAATAGACACCTAAGTGTAAAGTTCGGTCTTGTTTGTTTAGACGTATTATGACCCTCTTTATCTGCGCTTTCCCCTAGTCCTTGGCTTTCCTGGCAGCTGAATTTGAACACTACTTCAATAGGCTACTTGCGCTACCAGAATGAAGTCTCTTAATCAAACTGATTACTGTTAATCCAATTTACTTCTTATTAGGGTTTAGTGTTCTTGATTTTGTTCCGATTAGACAAATACTGTGAAAGTGGGTTTGCTTCATTTAACACTGATTCCGTCATTAAATAATATTTTAAAACTGACTGAAACCTGGTAATTTTGACACGCAGCAAAACTTTTTTTTTTTAAATGTTATCTTAAATAATAGTATGAAATATCGTATGAAACGAACAATTTTTCTACATCTTCGTCTATTCATTATTTTATTCACACCTCACCAAAATTGCCATTTAACTGTTCCAGGTATTTGTCTTACCGCTTTTTTTTTAATTATTATTATTTATTTGAAATTGATATGTGTGTGTATATAAAACAATATTTAAACACACTCGTCGGGCTATAAAGAATCTTGAGCCACAGAACTTTTATGTATTCTCTGTAAGAGAAACGTCTAACGAATCTTTTAAAAACTATTTATATTTTCCAAATTAGCAAACCGCTTGTTTTCCAGCGCTATATGGAAAATTAAAAAAGAGGGAATATGGCTATAATATGTAGGCTTATAATATACAGTGGGTACGGAAAGTATTCAGACCCCCTTAAATTTTTCACTCTTTGTTATATTGCAGCCATTTGCTAAAATCATTTAAGTTAATTTTTTTTCCTCATTAATGTACACACAGCACCCCATATTGACAGAAAAACACAGAATTGTTGACATCTTTGCAGATTTATTAAAAAAGAAAAACTGAAAAATGCTCAGTATTTAGTAGAAGCACCCATTTGATCTAATACAGCCATGAGTCTTTTTGATGCAACAAGTTTTTCACACCTGGAATTGGGGATCCTCTGCCATTCCTCCTTGCAGATCCTCTCCAGTTCTATCAGGTTGGATGGTAAACGTTGAAATATTAACATTCAGTGTCGGCAAAACCTTAAGCTTTAATTAATTTATATTAATCTCACTCTTGGCTTTGTCTTGACAGCTAGTGTCAATAATCTGTTCGAAACATTTACGTTTTAGCGGATGCGCATGCGTACACGGAAAAAAAAAATGCTTGGAAGAGAGGCGTCAGTTTAGGAGTAGTCGAGTTTTAAAAAGCATTGACAACTCGCGGCGATTTTTTTAATCCTGCATGAACATTGGGCGGACACGTTAGTTTACACGTAGGCCTATAAAAAGCTCAAATGAAAGTAGTTCTCATAAAAACAAAACCATGGAGGGACTGAGCGGGAATTGCTTTGCCTCTCATTGCAGGGATTTCATCTCTCACCCTGCACTGGGACGCCACTCTGGGAATCTCGCGAATCACCAGAGTACAGTGTGCCCAGATATCACTGCACAACATATCGGCCGGCAGTGCCCTGCGCACCAGGCCTCGGGCACATCACTGAGATTTGGAAGTCCATTTTATGGATGTCGTCTTTTGTATCCTCACAACGTAAATTTGCAACAGAAGGCATATTCCTATCATCCTGCCGAAAAATGCATGGAGTCAAGCAGTGCGCTGCCAGCTGACGAGCTTTCCAGTCGGTCCAAAGAATTAGGTATTTATCCAAGTTTTGCCAGCTCTCATCAGACAGTTCCCGGCTGTTTGGACGTCCCGGCTGTACCAGGAATCAGTGCGCACCCAGAGTCACGGCATGAAACTTTAATTCCTATGGGCAGGTATCAGCACTGGGCAATGTCGAACGGCTGGGATGAGCAACTTTATTGTTCTAAGGAGCAAACACATTTTAACCACCTATGGAAGTCCCAGTTTTCGGGTAAAATGACATGCATTAGCAAATATTTAATGATTGAAATACTGTGTTCTACTAATTAATACCTACTTGCAGTATTGGAGTTGAAGTGTAGTAGTAAAGTCACCATCTTCAAATATGTGAGGGAGACCGCGCAGATCTGTCACTTTACTTTATCGTCACTCAGTCTCAAATTTCATGTTCACTTTGGCCTGATCGTGGAGCCCGGTCTACGCCAAATAAAAACAGAAAATCGTCATATACACGACAAAAATTGACTTTGTCGTGTATATGATACTCACGTGTTTGGTGTGCATATAATATGCAGTTTCCGCGTGCATATGATACGCATCTACCCCACAACCCTAATCCTATCCATTGCGCATCATATGCTCGCCAAAGTCAATTTTTGCATATAAACAGTACGCCAAATCGAAACATAAACTCGTGCTACTGATACGCACTTTCAAGAGATCGGGTTATGATTATGAGATCGTTGTTATTGGTGGCCTGATTGTGTTATACAATAGTGATTTTCTGTGACAGAAACGTTGGTGCTTTGGGCACATATTAAACACGTCGTAAGTACAATATACAGTATGTATTCATTTAAATAATAGTAATTCAGTAATTGCAGCAATTTAAAAATAGAAAATAGAATCCGCACTGACTGACCCTATTGGGCATGTTTTTGTTAAAAACAAAAACAAATTAGTTTGTCTGAAAAGTACTGAAAATTTACAATATTTGGAAGATAACATTTAATATATCTCGCTTCTTTTAAATGCCTTTACAGATATTCTTATTATTGTGAGCACCATAACAAAAACTGTGTTTCTCTTCTAAATATGATTTTTTTGCCTTAATGTAATTCCTTAAAATATACGATATAGGTTAAATTAGGTATAGGGCGAATATAGGTATTCGATTTTTGCTTTGCATGGGAGAGTAAAAAAAAGAATTGAAACCAAGTTCTATTTTGTGGTTTGTGCAAAATAGGAAATTGGTACTCGATACTATGTATAGCTTATGTTTAATGTTCCATTTAAACCAGTTACACGGTTCAGCTTTTGCTTATACTGAGGACCGGTACATACAAATGTGAATTTCTTTTTTAGTTAAGCTGTAAACATGAACTAATCCGGTTAATATGTACAAGCTCGTTGCCTAGTAGTACGGAAATATTTATATTATTAAATGAGACTAGACTACTTAATTGGGTCACTTAAAAAAATAACTGTTTTATGATGTTGAAGTTAAGCGAATAAATAATTGTTACGTAATTAATTCATGTGGAATCGATTTATATGATTAAATTATCTAAATCCAAGAAACTTTTTTTTTTTAAGTGTGGATGTGTTTAGTATTATAAATACAATATAGTGAGGAAACAGAATAAAATAGTTAAAATTAACACAAGTAAACATGATTTGAGATGTTCTTTGAAATCTATCATATAAACTTATTTCGTTTTTATTTCTAAAAGTAAAACTTTAGTCCTCATGGGAAGCAAAAAAGAACGAAGTCTATTAATTTTTTTTTTTTTTTTTATAATTTCCCGGCATTAACCAATATGTTCCAAATGTGAAAATATTCCTTCAGAACAAATAATTTCTAATTTCCTTATACCAACGACTATATATATATATATATATATATATATATAGTCGTTGGTATAAGGAAATTAGAAATTATTTGTTCTGAAGGAATATTTTCACATTTGGAACATATTGGTTAATGCCGGGAAATTATAAAAAAAAAAAAAAAAATTAATAGACTTCGTTCTTTTTTGCTTCCCATGAGGACTAAAGTTTTACTTTTAGAAATAAAAACGAAATAAGTTTATATGATAGATTTCAAAGAACATCTCAAATCATGTTTACTTGTGTTAATTTTACCTAT